ATGTTGATAGTAATACTGTATCATCAGCATAACGAATTTCTGGTATTTCATGACCACCGATGTTTAGGGCATCATATTGTTCCTTGTTTATATCATCTCTTACATTGCCAATATAGTACAAATAAATCAAAGTCATTAAAGATTCATAACAAAAATTGAAATATAAACAATCAAAAGGAAAATATAAGAATTCATTTAAAATACATACAATAATTACGGCACTAAAAAAACATAAATAATTTATCATATAGTTTAATGGACACAAGCGATTAAATAATTATCTTTACTATAATTATCTACAATTTTATATCACTCCTAATTTTTTTTTTAAAGCTTGGAGCGCACTTGATAGTACAGGATGAAAGGGGAAGAAGGGGGAGGGGGGTCAAATTAAAACCTTCAAAGTATGATAAAAACTACAATAACAATGCCATGTTTTGTAACCTGTCAATAATAATATTAAGTATGTGAAAAGTGTTAAGCATGTGGCATCATGGTGCAGACAAACATGTTGACATCATGACAGTGTGAAGATGGCCTCTCACTTTTGACATGCATCAAAGAGGAGCAGCATTCAGTCCTTTTTATTTAAATCAGTGAGGGGGTGAAACCTTTAGAAATAAACTGGCGAATGAATGATGATGCCTATCAGTCTAGCAAATGTACAAGTGGAGTAAGAGTTTCAAAACTGTGTGACTTCTGTGACAGACTGTTTACAACAGGGTCTCACACAGGAACACAGCTGATTGAGTATTAGTAACCTTGCCTCACATCTTGACAACAGAGAAGTTTCAGCATACCACATCTTCCATGATGTGCAACAGTACTGCAAAGTTTCTGCAAGGTTGGTGCCATGGCAGCTTAATTCAGACTGAAAAAAAGCATTATTGCTTGTCAAGAACTTCTGTGCTCTGAAATTAATGGGGGTTTTTTAAGAACTGTTAGTGGAGATGAAACCTGGAATTACTACCATGAATCAGAAATGAAGACAGTGAGGAAGGAATGGCACTATCTCTCACCAAAACCAATTAGGTTTTGCATGTAGCCATCTGCATGGAAAGTTTTGCTGACTCTCTTTTTGGGATTAACGAGACATTATTTTAAAGCACTACATGCCAAGAGAGAAAACTCTCACCAGTGATACATATACAGATCTTCTCAGGAATCATCTTCGACCTGCAGTTAAATCTGATCAACATGGACTTCTGAGTAAAGGTGCAATTATTCAACACGACCATGCTCAACATCATACTGCCTGTGCAATGGTTGAAAGTATCGAAAACTACTTTCAGTGTGTACCACATCCCTTTTACCAGACCTAACCTGAAGTGATTACCACCTGCTGGGACAACTCAAAGAGTCACTGGGAGGAAATACTTTTCGGTCTGATGAAAAGGAAAAGCAGATGGTTATACATACGACCATAATAATTTATTCTAAAGAAATCTAAGCACTTTTTTTATTGCGGCTGGATGTCTTGCACTGAATGCAGTGGTGAATACATCAAAAAATTATTCATTTGTTTTTTACTTATTCAGAATATATTCACTAAAACAAACCAACATAAAAAAGGTATTTAAGTTTGAAACCCCCTTGTATTATAATATATACAGTAAAACCTCGTTAACATAAGCTAGCTTACGAAAAAACTTAGTTAAAATGGCAAACGCTGGTCCCAGCAGGGATGTATTAATCTGAGTCCTCGATCAGCACACACTTGATTAAACACAAGCTCTTGAATTTTTCTGCCCCTTTGAATTCATGTTAACAATATTTTACTGTAATTACACAGTATATAAACATATGACAACCAAACTAAATAATTACACTTTTCAGAATTCAAACTGAATATTATAACTGTTGGGAGCTGCCATTGTGTAGTGGCTAGATGCTTTCCTGTGGAACAGAAGTAAATGGGTTCTGGTCCTAACATACCTATGTAAAATATAGGTTTAGCCCTATATATGCCCAATACGCATAAAGGCGTGGGAAAAGGTCCTGTACCCTTTTTTTATATATAAAAAAATTACTAAATGTTAGGTGCCCCATACTTTCATTAGTCATAATAAAAATTGTTAGATGAATTTAGTAAAGATAATTATTTCATTATTTGTGTCTATTAAACTATATGAGAAATTATTTTTGCATTTAAATAAAAGCTATTTTATAAAATGTTTTTTTTAATACTGTTTATTTTCTACTTTTCAGTCATAATAACATCAAATCAGTCAATTGACAGAACAGTTAGACAAGAAAATGCAATATTAATTTTAACTCCTTGTGCCTTCTTCTGCTGTCCTTTGTCCATGTTAGAACATACACTCTCAGTCTACTCATGCGGGGTTGTTCAGTTAACTATCGTCACCTGCAGATCTGTCCACTCTGCCCCAGTATTATTATTCTCTTAAATTATTTCCTTCTTAATTTCACTGATAAATCACTTCACTTCAGGGCGCTATAACTATATTATTATTAATCTCTTTAATTATTTCCTTCTTCACTTATAACTCACTTCACTTCAAGGCGCTATAACCCTTTTTCCCGGGTAGATGGAATCCGTTAGCTTTGGACAGCAGTCCATCTAGGAGACGCCAAACTCCGAATTTAAACCCCCAAGTTCCAGGTGGGCCATCGTGCTGAGGAACTGGATGGCCACGGGTGAGATGGTATTGAACGCTGGACGTCTGGCGGGCGTGCAGGGCGGCACCAGACTCCTACGGGCCATCCATTGCCCCTTCCCTAGCAGGCGGGCAATACTAAGGTGACCGGTCTTTTCCTGCAGTACTCTATTTTTTCATATGGATTTTTAAAATATACATAGGAATCGTGGCCAGAGCTACAGGGCACGTGCTCTGCGCTTGACACATTATTCAGCAGTTAGTGAAGAGGGAGTGAGGAGACGATGAGGGAATGGGGAGAAAAGTAGGCATAGAAATAGGAGGGCATGTGCTAGGAGAATAAGACGAAAAGCGGAGAGATTGAGCTTTAATCATGTAAGAGTAGTATACTGGAACTGTCGGAATGCTAGGCAAAGAGAGGTTGATTTTTTATTTCGATGTCATCATGCTCCAGGAGCTAAATACAGACAGATATCATTGCCCTGGGTACGTCAGTTATATAAACCCTGTTGGACAGAAAAAACATGGAAAAGGTCTGGTGGTGAAGGAGGGTGTGAAGCATGTGGTGCTTGACTTGAGCCAGTGGAACCACAGTGGAAGAGAGGTTCAAGGGATGCAGGTGGAGATTGGTGGCTTAAGTTGGAACCTTATAAATATATATGCCACGGTAGACTGTTTTGTCAGAAGTAAACAATGGGGCTGGCTCAAGGAATTGGAGGAGTTACCAGGTGATAGGTTACTCATATGGGGGGACTTCAACGTGAGGAACAGAGAATGGGACAGCAGTGGAGAAAACCGACAGGGAATTGCTCTTGCGGAGGCCATGGTTGACTCCGATATGGTCTGCATCAATGATGGGAGGCCGACTAGAATGGCAATGAGGCCTGGAGATGCAGACACAGCATGGACTGTCCTGAATAATCATGGGAGTGATCACCTACGATGTTCAGTCTAGATTTCTAAACTCAGTAAGGTTAAGGCTGAGAGAGCACGCAAGACCTTCCGGTATAAGTGGACCAACAACCTACTTGGATGCCTCAGACGGGGAGCATGCGAACTGCCAGAACTAATTTTCTACAGCCACGATGGTGGACTCCAGAAGTAGAACAGTCCTGGAAGGCAAAGAGAGCTGCAGTGAAGCAGCTAAAGAAAGTATGACAGACACCCTCAAGCTCACGAGAGGAAGTGGAGATGGTGGAGAATGTGAAAAAAGATAAGGTGGAGGTTTTCAAGCGCTGTGCTGTAGAGGCCAAAAGAGCAAAGTGGGAAACTTTTTGTGAATATGGGAGGCGATAAAACATTGGGGAAATTCTGGAAACTGCAAAGGCAGATGCAAAGAAAAGATCGGCCTATGACAGTCAGAACAATTTGTAGAGATGATGGTGTGCGTGTGACAACAGACAAGGAGAGAGGGGAGGCTTTTTTCTATAGGTTTATAGCTCAGACAGATCATAATGATGTAGACATCAGGGATGCAGTTAGAAAGGAGTCAGCTGGCACCCTGAAGAATATGCATTATGAAGACAAGATACAAGTGGAAGACATCAAACAAATTTTGAAAAAAAGCAAAAGACACTGCACCAGGGCCTGATGGAGTTAGGTATGATCACATGAAGGCTTTGAGCGATGTAGACCTGGCAGAGACGGCCGACTGTTTTAACCAGAGTATTAAGACAGCATCAGTCCTGCAGGACTGGGTGCACAGCTATCTAATCCCACTACAAAACCTTTTAAAGATCATTCTAAGCTCAGTGGCTTTAGAATCATCACTTTACAAAACACACTTGGGAAGGTCTTGAAGAAGATAGTTGCTGTAAAGTTGCAATATTTTTTTGAAAGAGGTAAGCTTCTCCAAGAGGTCTGGAAAGCTACAGGCCAGGAAAGGACACTTGGGCAAATGCGGCCACTTTTGCTTTTGACGCCTATTAAGGGTTCCAGAACAGACAGGAAACTATGGCGGTAGGACTGGATCTTGAGGATGCTTATAACACGAGTGAGATACAATATCTTAATGACTGCACTGAGGGAGAAGGAGGTCAGTCCATGGCAGGTGAATTGGGTTGCAGCTGTCCTGTATTCACGTCAGGTTTCTCTCCAACTGGGTTCATGGACCTCAGAACCATGCACTTTGGCCCCAGGACTGCCACAGGGATCCGCCATCTCGACTGTGCTCTTTAATGTGTATACGAGCAAGATTGCAAGCCTAGAAGCACCAGCAGTTGGAAGGATACTGACTTTTGCGGATGATACACTTGCATATAGGTAGGGGGGAGAGAGGGAACAAACAGCCCGGGAGCTACATGCAGTAGACAAAGTGACTGAGTGGTGAGGGCTGTCGTCCACCCGGAAAAGGCGTCTGTTTTGTGGTGTTCTCTGGACAACAGAATCGTTAAAGCTTATGTCCCAAGTGGTTGAAACGTCAACAGAGAGAGCAAACTGAAGTATCTGGGAATTACATTTCACAGGAGCCTGTCATTTAAGGACCATGTGGAGAGTGTTGTGACGAGATGCCAAAAAGGACTTAGTGGACTTAAGACTATGGCTGCAATTGACATAGAGCAGAGAATGTTTTTCACACTATATCAGCACCTGATCCTGTCAGTGGTTGATTATGGCCTGGGACTGCTTACCGTCTCAAAGAGTCAGATGGACAAACTAGAGTGCATACAGAACGTGGCTATGCGGGTCATTCTGGGCTGCACCAGAGACACCCCAGTGGTGTGTATGCGATACATCCTTGGTTTGCCAACGGTTGCAGGTAGGCACAAGGTGCTGCAGGTGAAGTCATATCTCAGGGTAGCTGCAGACACAGACCACCCGCTGCATGAAGCTCTTTGTACAGTTACGGGTCAGCAGCTTATAAGAGGAAGGTCATGGATGGCGCAGGCAGAAGACACAATCAGATAGGTTTGCATCCTTGAGAACATTAGGCGAGGAGAAGAGTGTGTAAAAGTGCCACCTGAACAGTTAGACTTGTGTAGAGTCATAATCACACTGAGCCAGGAATGTAGAGACTGACCAGCAGGTGCCACAGAGGCGGAAATTTAGCAGTTAATTTAAGATAATGCTCTCTCAGAGGATTTGATCATTTACACAGACGGTTCAGTGTCAAGAGGCAAAAGAAGTGCTTGGGGCTTCTTAGCAAAAGTTAATGGTCGACGTTTAATGCAGGAGAGCCTAGCATATGATACCACAACATCCAGCTTAAGAATGGAGGTGGAGGCGGTCACTGCAGCTTTCCGCTGGCTAGAGAACACGACACACACACACACACACACACACACACACACATCGTGATTGTAACTGATTCAGAAAGCATGCTGAGGAAGATCGGAACAGGTATGCTTCAAAAAGGTATGCTCTGCAAAACTTGGTGGAATACTGATACATGATAAGGCAGACGTGGTAAGTGCCTTGTGGAAGAGCGTGAACAGTTTGGAGGAGCAGATGAATCACCAAGGTCTGGTGAGGTTGATGCAGCGGGGAGTGACAAGAGGTTCCGGCAGATGTTCGAGGCTCATAGGAAAGGCAAGACAGACGTTTAATCAGAATGCTATTGGAACTCTTCGCTGACTGCTTAAGATGGGGACGGAGCGCTTATGGAAATGCCACGAAAGCTATGATGTCGGTTCTTGAATCAAATCAAATCAATCAAATCAGTTAATTTAAAAAATCTTTTGTCAACATCAATGACTAATCACCCTATTGCTCCAAACAAATCTGTTATTATTTAAATGATTAGTTCTCTATTTTTTTCATCAAATGTATCAAAAATTTACACTGACTGACACATTTTTTCAAAGATACTTGCCATTGTGCTCCATCTGTTCAAGAAGGTCAATACCACATTGCTGCTGTCGAGGATAGTGCATAAATTCAACTTGCCAAACATTACGCGGGATCATTTTACCTTCTGGAAAGACCTAAAATTGTTCAGATAGAAGTCAACTGTCAAATATACTCATCAAAGTACACCCAGACTATCAACAGTGTGTGACATTTTAGGTCTTCGTATATTCTAGATCTGGCATAATGAGAGGCAGTGACCTGCTGCCATTATTTTCATCCAGACATTTCAATGACAATTTTACTGTATGAATTTTATTTGATAAAACACACACACACAAATGTTACAATCCACGGTAAAGAAATTGTAAAGCCATAAACTTTGAATACTGTAACATCATATGGTCATGAATACAGAAAACAAAAATTGCAGTTTCTGAATTCAAGTTGTCACATGTTTTCCTTTTTTTTTACATGAGTGTGAAAATGAATGAGGTAGAGGAACTGGTTAATAATTGAGAATCTTTCCAATGAATTGCTATTTTTAGCAAAAGGACTTATTTGCTTCATGATAATTCATTTTGTGGGTCTGCACTGTTAATTATCATAGTTTCCATTTGCTGAACATTAGTATCCTATCCACATTTTGCACTGTGCTTTGTATTTATATGCTCCACTAGGTCTTGTAACCAACTCCCTGTCTGATAGTAGCAGGTCACCACTATATTTTAGACTGATTTTTTTTCTATGAATGTTCAGCCAGGAAATTCCTCAGCTTATTTCAAAAGTGTTCGCATATAAGTTGAAAAATGCTTAGGGACAACTGTTAAATAACCTCAGACTAAAAGAGAAATGAATGCATAAGGAGAACAGTCTCGTGCCATGGAAATTTGGGACATGGTGAAGATTTTTATAACTGCTGTTAGATTCAGCTGGGCACTACATAGCTCTGGTGATTATTCTTTTTATTATCAAGTACAAAATCCATAGAAAATATTCTTTCAATGCAGGAAGTAAACGGTTCATCCTAGTATTGCCTGCCTGCTAGGGAAGAGGCAGTGGATGTCCCGAGGGAGTCAATATGCCTGGCACCGCCCCACTCGCTAACCAGATCTATATCTCAAAGCTATTCAGCCAGCAGGCACCTAGGCCCACTGTAAGCAAAAATATCGAACAGTTAATAATTTCACAGTATCTAACAAACACATCAACTTCCTTCTGGCATCTAACTGTTTCACACGTTGCCCTCATGCATTTACACTGGTAAGTGGTTTGTTTTAAGTGATGAAAACCAATACAACATACGATTTTCTGGCCTTGAAATAATCCTGGTAAGTAGAGTGGCCATACCGGAAGCAGGACTCACTAAACACACTATCGCAACAAACAGACACTCAATATCGGCATTGGAAGCTTACACCAACTTTAGAGCAGAAGAAGCAACCTCCTTTGAACAGAGACTCCCAATACACATGTTTAACTAAATGACAAGCTGTCATATTCACATACGTAAATTCAGTCTTCAAGCCATCTCACAGACTTAACAAGACAGCAAAAACTATGAAAAAAATCAGAATACTGTCCACAAGAATGGTAAAACTCACGATTCTCACCCTATCTTGTTCGCCTGTATGATTTTGTATTCGTTCCCACAGACTGTCCGAGGGGTGTCAGGTGTTGCTTGTTTCGAATCTTTTAGGCACATCCACCACCGATGACAGCCATCGCCAATAAGTGTTAAAATATAAAAAACATCTATGATTTGATACTCAAGAATCACCGTGCCTTTGGCGCTTCCCCTTCAGTACTTCTTCCTTGTACAGAGGCGCCTGCGGTGCCTGAGCTACTCACAACAACAACACATTCCACAAACAACAGTCATTCACAGAAAAGACGGTTGCAACAAGAAAGCAATGTGTTGACCGTGTCAAACGAACCTGAGACAGTTTTTGGGCAGTGTGTATAGACATCGAAGGAAGGCATCTCATAAAACCCCTAGAACATAGGACAGCCAGTGGGAACGAATATAAAATCACGCAGGTAAATGAGATGGGGTGAGAATTGTGAGTTGTTCCAATTATTCCAGCAGTGAATACCATGAAGGCTATAGAAACCTCATGCAGCCCCCATCTGTCTCAGAGATATAAAACCCCAAAGACACTCTTATACTACAAAAATTACAGATGAGAACATGTAAGGCAAGGAAAGAAAGTTGACACAAAACAAAACTGCCATTATACCTGTATAATTCTTTTTGTTTTATAACAGAAGGTAATATTCAAGGCAATGAATAGACTCGAGAACTTGGTGACAACCAGCAAAATTGATAGAAAGAGGACAGAAGGAAAGCAAAGAGATAAATACTTTCATGGCTTGGCCACATGCATGAGATGGGAAAAGAATGCCACCTGATCTGTGATTCTGATGACAGGAAGAATGGTGAATGATGACTGCCTATGCTTTTCGGCATGGCGCAGGATGAACTTTCCAGGGAGAGGGAGCTGGCCGATTTTTTTTTACTGAAAAGGGAGAGGTGAGCCACACAAGTTTGGAAAAAACTGATCTAGATGCTGAGAATTGGCACAGATGAAGGTAAAGGAGAAAATACAAATATAATGACTGCCAAGGTAGACTAAGAACAAGATGGGAAGATCACATCAGAGAAACTCTACAGCACCACGACGTATCTTTGGTCATAGCAGCCAGAAGAGCAAAAAGCAGAACCCTATATCTCCCTGGACACCCGAAGCGGTAAAAGAGGAAATAAAGAAGAAGAAGAAGATATTTGGTGAATGTGATGAGATGAGCAGTGAAGACAGTGAGGATTAAGTATGTATGTCATCTGTGTACATTAATACATGTCACCAGCACGTGGCCTCAGAACAGACTTTGGGCTTCATTACATAAGATATTCAGAAGATTTTTGCCAGATTACAAAAGTGTGGTGAGTGGCAGCCTTTGAAATGCTGATCTGAGACACTGTGGTTATAAAATAATATTAATTCAGTGATAATGCATTGTATTTGCTATTCTCTGTGTGGGTTCCGGGGCTCATTTTGGAGAAAATATGAATAAATCCACTTCCCCCCCCCCCCCCCCCTTCCCCACACTGTAATGACTATATTGTAAAACATACCTGAATAAGAGCTTTGTATGCCACCAAATCTTTTTCAACTCCAAACATCTTCATTTTCTGCATGCCTGCATAAATAAATTCTGCTGCCCCTCTGCGATAAAGTGCTTCCTTAGATATGTAGCTATTAACAGCTATAAGAAATGTTTTTTTATTCGCTCCTCTGAAAGTAAATAAAACAATAATCACAACGAAAATTAAAATAAAGCAAAGAAGCAATAAAATTAAACTGACATAGAGCAATAATAATATTAGGAAGAAATAAAATTGCATGTATCTGAGGGGGACTGGTAATAAAACAAATGTTTCCTTCACAAGTTTCATGACCACATACACAATGAGCACTTACTTGATATGCTTAATGGAGCATAATGATGTTTACAGATTAATTTAACACTTTCGTACTGTTAGAATCTTTAAAAAAATTAACCCCTGTTTTCAAATTGCATTAAAAAAACAAAGCATCATTATAATTCTCTGATAATTCAACCCTAAGGAAGTTGAGAAAGGGAAAAAGTAGCAGAAGTTTTGGTTAATTTTTATAAAATCTATGGGGTTGAACCCTTAGACTACTGAGCAGACTGGCAAGCGTGAAGCCCACAGCTCATCAGGAAGCCCACAGCTCATCGCAACCATCAAATTTTTTTTTCTTTAAAGATATTTATATGTCAATAACTAATGGTCACAATCATCATCATTATTTGTCATGCCAACTGGTGTAGGCGCTCATGCGTCTCCACAGATCACAATCCCTGGTTGCCTGGAACAGCTCTCTTCGTCTGCTTCCACCCCTTTTTCCACTGATCTTTCCAGTTGTCACCATGTTCTCCAATGTCTCCCTTTTCGTTATGTGGCCAAAAACAGTGTTTGTCTCTTTCTCATTGTTGTATTTAGAGATTTGCTTTCATTAGCTTCTTTCAAGCAATCGTTGTTAGTTACTCTAGCCGTCCAAGGTCTTCACAACATTTGTCTCAAAAACCACATCTCTGTTGCTTCCAAATTTTTCCTAATTTGTTCACTGACATTCCAAGATATGCTGCTATTCAGCAGAACAGGTTCTATGTAACATTTTAGCACCCTCTTTCTGACATTAAATAAGAGCAATTTAAGAATGCAAACTACCCGGGACCTCTGAAGTGATGATTGCCACTCTACATGAAGCATGCCTGTCTCCACCTTTCTCAGCATGCTCTGTGAGTCCGTTACAATGACATGTGTGTACAGCTGATTCTCAAGCCAGAGGAAGGTAGCAGTGACTGCCTCCACCTCCATTCTTAAACTAGACGTTGTGATATTAAATGCCAGGCTTTGTTGCCCCAAGCGACGTCCCTTTTCCTTCACAATGAATCCCCATGCACTTTGTCTGCCCATCAACACAGAGCCATCTGTATTTACAATCATATCACTTGGGCGGGAACTGTCATGAATCCTTTGTTCAACTTCTGATTCTGCTGCACCAGTTGGCCAGTCCCTGCACTCACGTCTTAAAGTGATTAGAGTCCTACACAAATCTTAAACCTGATCGGACATTTTGACTCACTCCTCTCATCATCTAAATTTATAAAGCCTGCACAGTTGTGTCTTCAGCTAGCGCCATTCAAGACTTTCTTCTTTTCAGTCTGTGTCCCTTAGCTCTACTCAGGGCTTCATGCCGGAAAGGCTTCTTGTCTGAAGCTACTCTGAGATATGACTTTGCCTGCAATAGTAGGCAGCGTTAAGTATTTATCACATATAGTTTCATCGCGCCAGCTACTGAGTTCAGTGCATGGCGCGACCCTGTGAGCTGCAGATTTAATTTGGAATGTTTTTCACACCAACATGGTGTTGTGAACTGTAGATTCAGAAAATGTTGTGTGGCCTGACGCTGCAAAATTGGTCGTGCCCTTATGTGATTAATATTGATCGCGTTCTCATCTGCTGATCTGTTGGCGACTCTGCTACTGATGATGAACTGTATTTCTAATGTCAACTGTTTGTGTTATAACTTCTGATGGCTATCGTATGTTTTTAATGAGTGTGTATGCTAGTGCATGTGCTGAGACAGCAGTCTGTCAATATTTCCACAAGGGACTGTGACGAACATTATGTGTGTTTGTCGTTGGCACAGGAGCGGAGCAACTATGGGTTGACTCGTTTGCTATGAAGCTGAAACTAAGATTACCAAGATTACCAAGACATATCACATACATACTACCAGGGTATCTCTTGTACATCCTAGAATTACCTGCATGGCTTCATTCTGTATGCATTTGTTTCATCAGCTGACTCTTTGATATGGTAAGTATGCCAAGTCCATAATCTATCACCGCCAGGATCACATGCTGGAACATTGTGAACAATATTCTTTGTTCCATGTCCATTGCTGCCATAATCTTAACAGCATTGGGTCCTCTTTGGCATTTCCCTGCAACTGCATCTACATGGCGAAGGGCAACCATACCTGAATGCAGGACAGCTGCTATCCAGTTCACAAACCATGGACAAACCCCCTTCTCCACAAGTGCAGAAATTAAAATATCATATTTTACTCTATTGTAGGCATCCTTAAGATCAAGTGCGGCCACAACTGTCTCCTGTCTGTTCTGGAAAATTAAAAGTAACTACACTGGACCAGGTATCTTTCCGTGGCCAGTAACTACCCAAACCTTTTAGCAGAAGCTCTTCCCTTTCCAAAAACATTTGTAGTTTAATAGCAATAATCTTCTCTAGCACCTTGCCAAAAGTATTATATAGGGTGATAATCCTGAAACCGCTGAGTTTGGAATGATCTTTGTCTGGTTTTGAAAGTTGAATTAGGTAGCTATGTACCCATTCCAGGGGTACTGAGGCTGTTATGATGCTCTGGTTGAAGTAAAAAGCCATCTCCCTCAAGTCTTCATCACTCATGCTCTTCATGTGCACATACCTGACTCCATCTGGCCTCCACCCTAATAATATCCTCAAAATAATTCTCATTTACAGTATTAAATAGATTATCTCTAACTGAATTTCTAAGCTCCCTATCATTATGATCGATTTGGGCTATAAATCTCTTCAAAAATGCTTCCCCTTTCTCTATGTCTGTTGTCACTGGTATATAATTATTAGTGTATAAAATGCCTGTTGTAATAGGCGGATCCTTCCTTTGCATCTGTCTGTGAAGTCTCCAAAACCTACCCAGTAATCTATCCCCTCCAATTTCGCTCACAAAATGTTCCCATTTAGCCTTCTTTGCATCTGCTGCACAACGCTTGAAATCTTCTACTGTTCTTTACTAACTCTTTCTAGCCTCTCTATATCCTCTTGTAGCCTTTCGCACTTTCTGTAATTTCCTAACTGCTGCTCGCTTTGCTCTCTATGCCGGTTCTACTTCTTGGGTCCCCCATGGAGGCTGTACAAAAGCAGAGATGGTGGTGTCCTGCATACCTTCTGTCAGAGGCATCCAAGAAGGGTACTGTCCCTCTCATACTTAAAAAGTCTTCCACGTTCTCACAGCCCTAATCTTGCTAGCTTTAGAAATCAAGACTGAGCATGGCATATGGTCACTCCCATGATCGCCTAGGACACTTCATTTTGTATCCAGCACTGCTGACTGGGTAACAAACGCAAAATCAATGTCCGTGTCTGCATCACGAGGTCTCATTGCCATTCTAGTTGGCCTACTGTCATTTATACAGACTATGTCTACATCCACCATAGCCTCAGCTAAAGCAATCACAAAACAGAAACAGAGTAAACAATCAACTGCTTTCCTTCTCTTTGACTAAGCAAACTGGCATTGTTAACACAACCATGTGGAGCAAAGTGACATCATCATGAGGTAATTATTACATAATTATGATAACAACATTTTTTTTTCTACCCAAAAATTTTTTGGGTTGGTATATATAGTTATACCTAGGATGTCTACACACTAGGCAGTTGCAGCCTGTACCAAAGCTGTTATACAGGTGAAGTGGCCACTGCCCAAAGATGTCATCACACAAAAAAAGAGAAAAGTCTAAAAATTGGCTCTCTAAGGGCTAGAGGGTTAATAAGCTCAGAATAACTAATGCTAGTCATGCAGCAAAAAAACTAGAAGACAATTTTTTTTTAGTTTCACTATATGGAGACAAATTACCTAAAGACTTCACATATTTTGTACCAGTCATGCACCTTTCTATTGGAAATATCAATTGTCGGGTAACCTTCAAGCATGCTGAAATATTTAAAGCTCTGCCAAAGAAATCAGGCACTTTAAAAATGTGAAGACCACCGCATAAGTCCTAAGAGCCACATGACTAAGACGTTACTGAAAATAATTAAGAGAAGAATAAGAACAAAATTAAACTAGAAATTAAAGATGAACAATGTGGATTTGTAAAAGAAAAGGTACAGACCAGAAATCAGTGATAAATATGTGGATTTGTAGAAGGAAAAGGTATAAACAATGTCATATACATCATAAGGACATTGTCAGAAAGAGCTATAGAATAGAAGTAAAGACTGATTTGTACTTATGTTTCATAGACTATACAAAAGCATGTGACTGTTTGAAACATGAAGAAGCAATCAAACTGTTAGAAAAATTAAACATTGATAGAAAAGATCTACGAATAATAAAGAATATGCATTGGCAGCAAACAGCAGCTATACAAATTAACTGTTTAGGTACATCTCAAAGCACAAAGAAGGGCGTACGACAAGGATGTGTATTGTCACCTGATTTACTTTCAGTATACAGTGAATACATAACGAGATCTTTAATTGATATGCCCAGAATTGTGGTTGACAGGCATAATATAAACAATCTGATTACAGTCTTGATAGCAACAAGTCAGACATAACTAAAGGAAATGATAGACATTGTGGTGTTAGAAAGTGGAAGAATGGGCCTCAAATTGAATAATGGAAAGACAGAAGTAATGGTGGTATCAAAGAAAAGAATTATTCCTAAATGTGTAATAAAAGTCGATGGTGTTATTTTAGGACAAGTACAGAAATTGAAGTAATCTGGTAATCTGAGTTTCAGCTTCATAGCAACGGGTCACCCCATAGTAGCTCCACTCCTGTGCCAAAGAAAAACACACAGAATTTTTATCACAGTCCCTTGTGGAAAGATAGACAGACTGCTGTCTCAGCAAATCTAGAATACAAATGCATTAAAAGCATATGGCAGCTATCCGAAGTATCAACACAAACAGT